CTCCAAAAAATTAAGGACCCCTTTCCTAGGATTTTGCTTTACGTGAGGACCCCCCCCCCCCCCCTTAGGAAGGACCCCCCCCCCTTAGGATCCGGGACACGATACAATACTACTCTTATATTTTTGTACAAAACTTTTAAAATTGAATTTTAGCCTCATTGGAGTTTCATGACAAATAATCGATTAAAATGTGTTAGATAGCCATAGCCAATAATAGTTCCAGCGTATTGGATTATAATAACAGTTTTAGAACTCGGATTCAAATCCAGTAGAATCTAATTTTCAAAAAGGCCTAAATGGATTCTTTTTTTTCTAAAAAAATCATTTATAACTGGATTATTATCTGCATCTAATTTTTGCTTTTTATTTGGATTATCTGCAACTTTTTCTGAATTGCCCACGACCTACTCGATGTTTGAACCAGCTTACTTCATTCAAATGGCATCTCTTACACTCTTAACGCCTCATTTAAGCTCTTCCAGACATACCCACCACCTTACTCCTCTCACACTTACCCCATCCCTCCCATGTAAACGTAGAAGGAGATGCGTGGTGTAGAGTTTGCGATTCTACTGTCATTTTGACTAGTAGCAAATTCGCAGTGGATTTTATAACTGTGCGTTTATAGAAGTTTGTAATTGTACGGTGCGACGGTTTAATGGCCATTCAAAATTTGGAAAAAAAATCAGTTTTTAACTTCGTTTTCGATACTTTCCGAAAAACCGAAATTCAAGACTTTATGTAAACTTAGCAAAACACCCGACCCTCAAAGGCCACTACATGGTACTAATAAGAAGCTGTAAAAAGTCGGTCCACTACGAGGTAACAATTTCCTGAGATCTCGGAAAACCACACCTGTTGCCTAATTATTAAGAAAGACTTTAAAAACTTCAAGGGACCCCCTACAACACAGAAGTCGAATCTAAAAATTTTTTGAAGTCATCATCCTCCGGAACCCTAATAATGAGCCTGCAAGAAATTGGTCCACTCAGAGGTAACATCTCCACAATATCTCAAAAAGACCACAAGTTGCCATGTATTTAGATAGAGTATGAAACTTTTCACGCCCTCCAGCAACACAGTGAACGGTTTTCAAAAAATCCAAGGCCGATTTTTCGTATGACTCTTTTAAGAATTACATGCAACCTTAGAAGACCAGAAGATAACAACTTCCAGATATATAGAGCTAACACATGTTATAAGTAAAAGTCATCGTCCCAGACTTCCGAAAGTCATTTCTCGGCCCCACTGAACGCAGGGAGCCAAAGCTTCGCAATATGATAGTCAATAGCAAGATATGTCGTATGTCATACTTTGCACCAAATCTGAATGTTGAACCGGAAATTATTAGCACTTGGGAAAAACACCCGTTATATCGGAATTAGTCAATTTAGGCAAAATAATCAGCGAGGGCATATTGGTTTTATGGCTGCAATAGAAACTTAAACCCAGTCCTGAAAAATGTTCGCCACTGAGTATAACTCATCCTGCGACTCTTTCCAGTGTTATTAGACTTTGAATGGACCTTAGAAACGGGGTAATTTGGAAATGTTTAATGCGATATGGTTGAAACTTGTTGAGTAGGACCCTCTGGGATTCTGAACACAAATATGGAAAATAGACTCCTCGGATGACACCGGCGTAATTTTTAAATGACTTTTGGGCGTTTATGACCAAAATTGGATAGACCACTCCGAAATTAACACCGGAAAGTGGAGTATTTCTCAGCCCCAAATCTTTGGAAATGAGAATCAATCACCCAGTTTATATTTGGGAGGAAAGTTATCCATTGTGAACTGAAGCAGAAGCTGAAAGGGGTGTTAGTTCTGAACTGTAATATTAAAGTAGTGAAACTAATTAAAATGGACTTAGGAAATATTAGGTTCAGCAAACATTGGCATTGGCGAATTACCTTTTAATAGAAACTCAATCAGACTAAAGAATGGTAATCGCATAGAAAACACGTCGTAATAGGATTAAGGCATGGGAATTAGGTCTCAAAATAACTCTAATGAACGGGGTTTTTTACTCCGCTCCCCGGAGGTTGCTTTTTGGCTCAATTTGACCCTGAATAGGCGAATTACGTTGCCCTTATAGCTAAAAGTCGGGACTGAAATAGAGTACAGATGGGAAATTTAGATCTTTAAATTGAACAAACTACTCAGAAAAGGGTCTTCCCCTAACCTCGGGAGGTCGGACGTTAACGGAATAATTGAGTAAAAAACGTGGGAAACTGGTTAATCAACAAAGCTTAGTTTAGATGTGAAATTGGACTTGAGATTTGTAAAATTTAGTTCGAGATACCTCTGGTGAACATAAAATTCATACCTAGTGTCGCCAGGGAGAAATTTTTCTTAAGAACGTTGCGCAAGATGTACCAGAGTAAATGCCAGGACTTGTAGGGACAACCATAACTCTAACTAAAACAAAAACTGAAATAGACTAATATAGCGAAAGGGTTACGGGTAGCTTATACTTGGGCAGAACAAAATTGTATTGTGAGTGCGAAAAATTGATTCTCAATTAGTTAGAACACAAATTTTTGCGAGAAGAGAGATTACAAATTTAGTAGATATTTAATTTTCTTCAGAGTTGAAAATAGTGATTCCGGAAAATATCGATATCAGTTAAAGTACCTCAAAGGAATAGTTATCCATAAAAAAACTACTAATTTTAGCAGCTCGGACTGAGTGGTTATAGGGAAAATTGTGTGTAATTGGTTAAAAAGGTTTCTTTAGAGAAAAAATCACATAGTTGAGTTAATTGGAAGCTAAATTGCAATTAGGCAATTGTGCTGATAAACCGCGGATCTTTTCCTTTGATTAGATTAAAAGATTTTATTCTGGCTACTTAGAGACGTCTGTATTTGGTCTTCTATTATCCGAACTCAAATAGTATTGAAAAATTCTTGCGATCGTATTGAGCGAACGGGACAGGCGCAAGAGTAGTACAAAAAGGGGGCCAAAAGCACAATACAGTACAGAAAGGTTGATAGCAACTGAATCTTTTCGGGATTGTGGATAGGAGTGAATCTCAGTCGCCGCACTGAATTCACTACCCATGGAACCACTTTGCATTGTCGTTAAAAGAGAGAGAGAGAGAGAGAGAGAAAGCGCAAACATAGAGAAGCAAAACCTTTAAATCTACAAATGAGAGTAGTGGGAAGGGGGATGTTAAATAGGAAGATGGAGGGCACACTTGTGAAGTTTTGAAAAAATAGTCTCTACTTTCAACAACAGAACATAAACGACGTATCGATGCAGTTTTTAAAGCGTTTTGATGAAAAAGTTCTGTTTTTCATGTTCACTCCGTGTCTGAGCATGAGCATATGCGGGAGAGGGAGGGTTGTAAAAAGCAGCAAAGGACAAAAAGGATAAAAAAACAGCAAAAATTAAGTACGAAACTAAAAGAACGGAAGAAAAAAATGAAAAATGTGCAGAGAAAAAACAAAAAAACCAAAGTAGTTTTATCCAAAATTTCATCAATTAAACGTGTCTTTTGCAAAATGACGTTTAATTTTTGAACTTACAGTGAAAACTTTGAAAATTGCAGAGTAATTTCAGAAAAAAACTTTTAAAATCTTTCATTGTGTTTTGTTATTGATATAAAACGTTTTGTTTGCTTCAAAAATATTAACATTACAATCCATTTTGAACCAGTTTTAGGTGATTAGTTAAAACTGGCTATAAAATGAGCCCATTATCAATTAGTTATTGTCCATGGAACACCTTAGCGGGTAAGAATTACAATTAGCCGCAACGGAGTTCCATGGACAATATCTAATCGTTTATGATGTCATTCTATAGCCAATTCCTGAAAAAAAAATCTTAAGTAATTAACTAAAACTGGTTTAAAATGGTTTTTAATGTTATTGTTTTTGAAGCAAACAAAACGTTTTTTCTTACATCAATTATAAGAAAAAACATAGAAGATTTTAATAGTTTTTTAAAAAGAAGAAACGAATTATTTTGGAAAAGTTTCTATTTGAACTTAACTACTTCAGCAAAAGGTCTTTTCATTACTCATTATCAGTTCTGCTAGATAGCGTAAGCTTGCTTTCAAACTTTCCAAATTGCTAGATTGCTCTTTTATTTGAATATGGTTAAATTGGAAATCATCAAAAATGAAAAAAACTCACAAAAACCTACAAATGCCTCAAATACTACCCAATCCTGGGTCGGATTTAGGGGGAGCGGATTGGAAGCCCTCTTCCCTCGGAGATTCGATCCCCTGCCGACCTAACCAGTCCCTCCTGGTACCTTTTTGAGATATGCATTTTTTGTTGACGGACCCGAAAATTTTTGCTTAAAGTGCGTTTGGTGCTAAATATATACTAACTTGAGGGGGGAGCGCTCGCCGAAAAAACGCGTTTTTCGTCAAAATTTTCCAAAAGTTGCCTAGTACCCAATCCACGATTTCATTGAAGTGCAATTGATCAGACAAATGTCTCTTAATGAAACAACGGCACGCAAGGACCGTTCAAATTATTTGATGACTTTTTCACGTTTGTAGTCATTTATCAGTTTGGTGCCTAGTTCGAAATTGCTTTCGCCCTCTAATAGCTATGACGCGAATTGCTACAACAATATTTTTTCTGATAGAAATTTTACACCAGAATTCGTTTTCTTATAAGAATATTATAAGATTCATACAAACTCTCTGTCATCACATACAAGAAATCCTGTAAGATTTTCCCAGGACTTCGATTTCTACTAGCAATCGGGTAACCAATCCGCACGTCAATAAAACCGTAACTTAAAAAAAGGCGTTCAGTTAGGTATAATTGATACAATTTTTTCCACAAGAAGTACATAGTTCAAAGCTAGGAATGTGTTCTTTTTAAAATATAGGTTATGTTTCTAGGAAGTGAAACAAAGAAAGTGACCGCGCCCTCGCAAGCAGCGATCACGGATGATGGGCCTCGAATATCCGACTTCCCGACTTCTTACGAAGGCCTTACTTCTGCAATAGTGTTACTTTAAATGTTTGAAATTGAGTACCTGGGTTAGCAAAGCGTTGTTGTTGATATCCAGTCTTTGAGTGATAGCGACAACCAGACACTAAGTCATCATTCTGGAATGCATGTATGGCTGGCCGTCTGTATCCAGATCCTCCTCGCTCGTCGAAACTGCTGTGGAGACTCTGTCGATTGAGATAGTCCTGCACTTTAATGTCTACTATCTTCCTCACTCTCTCCGTCTCTCGCTCCGACCATTTGTTCCAATTCATCGTTTTTTTTTTGTTTATGGGGGATTTCTGGTTCATTATCCATGCATTCTCCCCAAATGGAAAACTTGATTATGCATCGAATGGGAAAAATATAAGATCATTTAGACAAAAAAATTACAAAAAATACGTCTAAAAAATACCGAATAAGTTTAACTGGATATCCATTTCAAAAAAATATCGAAAAGTCGGTCCACTACGAGGTAACAATTTCTTGAGATCTCGGAAAAACCACACTTGTTGCCTAATTATTAAAAAAGACCTTGAAAATTTCAAAGGACCCCCGACAACATAGAAGTCCAATCTAAAAATTTTTTGAAGTCATCATCCTCCGGAACCCTAATAATGAGCCTGCAAGAAATTGGTCCACTCAGAGGTAACATCTCTACAAGATCTCAAAAAGACCAGAAGTTGCCATGTATTTAGATAGAGTATGAAACTTTTCACGTCCTCCAGCAACACAGTGAACGGTTTTCAAAAAATCCAAGGCCGATTTTTCTTATGACTCTTTTAAGAATTACATGCAACCTTAGAAGACCAGAAGATAACAACTTCCAGATATATAGAGCTAACACATGTTATAAGTAAAAGTCATCGTCCCAGACTTTCGAAAGTCATTTCTCGGCCCCACTGAACGCAGGGAGCCAAAGCTTCGCAATATGATAGGCAATGGCAAAATATGCCGTATGTCATACCTTACACCAAATCTGACAGTTGAACCGGAAAATATTAGCACTTGGGAAAAACACCCGTTATATCGGAATTAGTCAATTTAGGCAAAATAATCGGCGAGGGCATATTGGTTTTAGGGCTGCAATAGAAACTTAAACCCAGTCCTGAAAAAGGTTCCCCACTGAGTATAACTCCTCCTGCTACTCTTTCCAGTGTTATTAGACTTTGAATGTCCCTTAGAAACGGGGTAGTTTGGAAAGTTGTAATGCGATATGGTTGAAACTTGTTGAGTAGGACCCTCTGGGATTCTGAACACAAAGATGGAAAATAGACTTCTCGGATGACACCGGCGTAATCTTTAAATGACTTTTGGGCGTTTATGACCAAAATTGGATAGACCACTCCGAGATTAACACCGGAAACTGGAGTATTTCTCAGCCCCAAATCTTTGGAAATAAGAATCAATCGCCCAACTTATATTTGGGAGGAAAGTTATCTATTGCGAAATGAAGCAGAAGCTGAAAGGGATGTTAGTTCTGAACTGTAATATTGAAGTAGTGAAACTAATTAAAGTGGACTTAGGAAATAATAGGTTCAGAAAACATTGGCGAATGACCTTTTAACAGAAACTCAATCAGACTAAAGAAAGGTAATCCCATAGAAAACCCGCCGTAATAGGATAAAGGCATTAGAATTAGATCTCTAAATAACTCTAATGAACGGAGGTTGCTTTTTGGCACAATTTGACCCTGAATAGGCAAATTGTGTTGCCCTTATAGCTGAAAGTCGGGACTGGAATAGAGTACAGATGGGAAATTTAGATCTTTAAATTGAATAAACTACTCAGAAAAAGGGTCTTCCCCTAACCTCGGGAGGTCAGACGTTAACGGAATAATTGAGTAAAAAATGTGGGAAACTGGTTAATCAAACAAAGCTTGGCTTAGAAGTGAAATTGGACTTGAGATTTGTAAAATAATTTAGTTCGAGATACATCTGGTGAACTTGAAATTCATACCTAGTGTCGCCAGGGAGAAATTTTTTTGAGGACGTTGCGCAAGATGTACCAGAGTAAATGCCAGGACTTGTAGGGACAACTAAAATAAAAAACTGAAATAGACTAATATAGCGAAAGGGTTACGGGTAGCTTATACTTGGGCAGAACACAATTGTGCTGTGAGTGCGAAAAATTGATTCTCATTTAGTTAGAAAACAAATTTTTGCGAGAAGAGAGATTACAAATTTAGTAGATATTTAGTTCTATTCAGAGTTGAAAATAGTGATTCCGGAAAATATCGATATCAGTTAAAGTACCTCAAAGGAATAGTTATCCATAAAAAAACTACTAATTTTAGCAGCTCGGACTGAGTGGTTATAGGGAAAATGGTGTGTAATTGGTTAAAAAGGTTTCTTTAGAGAAAAAATCACATAGTTGAGTTAATTGGAAGCTAAATTGCAATTAGGCAATTGTGCTGATAAACCGCGGACCTTTTTCTTTGATTAGATTAAAAGATTTTATTCTGGCTACTTAGAGACGTCTGTATTTGGTCTTCTATTATCCGAACTCAAATAGTATTGAAAAATTCTTGCGATCGTATTGAGCGAACGGGACAGGCGCAAGAGTAGTACAAAAAGGGGGCCAAAAGCACAATACAGTACAGAATGGTTGATAGCAACTGAATCTTTTCGGGATTGTGGATAGGAGTGAATCTCAGTCGCCGCACTGAATTCACTACCCATGGAACCACTTTGCGTTGTCGTTAAAAGAGAGAGAGAGAGAGAGAGAGAAAGCGTAAACATAGAGAAGCAAAACCTTTAAATCTACTAATGAGAGTAGTGGGAAGGGGGATGTTAATTAGGAAGATGGAGGGCACACTTGTGAAGTTTTGAAAAAATAGTCTCTACTTTCAACAACAGACCCTAAACGACGTATTGATACAGTTTTTAAAGCGTTTTGATGAAAAAATTCCGTTTTTCATGTGCACTCCGTGGCTGAGCATGAGCATATGCGAGGGAGGGAGGGGTTGTCAAAAGCAGCAAAGGACAAAAAGAAATAAAAAAAAACAGCAAAAGTTAAGTACGAAACTAAAAGAACGGAAGAAAAAAATGAAAAATGTGCAGAATAAAAACAATAAAACCAAAATAGTTTTACCCAAAATTTAATCAATTCAACGTGTCTTTTGCAAGATGACGTTTAATTTTTGAACTAACAGTGAAAACTTTGAAAATTGCAGAGTAATTTCAGAAAAAAAAACTTTCAAAATCTTTCATTTTGTTTTGTAATTGATATAAAACGTTTTGTTTGCTTCAAAAATATTAACATTACAATCCATTTTGAACCAGTTTTAGCTGATTAGTTAAAACTGGCTATAAAATGACACCATTATCAATTAGTTACTGTCCATGGAACACCTTAGCGGGTAAGAATTACAATTACCCGCAACGGAGTTCCATGGACATTATCGAATCGTTTATGATGTCATTTAATAGCCAATTCCTAAAAAGTTTTAAGTAATTAACTAAAACTGGTTTAAAATGGTTTGTAATGTTATTGTTTTTGAAGCAAACAAAACGTTTTTTTTACATCAATTATAAGAAAAAACATAGAAGATTTAAATAGTTTTTAAAAAGAAGAAACGAATTATTTCGGAAAAGTTTCTATTTAAACTTAACTACTTCAGCAAAAGGTCTTTTCATCACTCATTATCAGTTCTGCTAGATAGCGTAAGCTTACTTTCAAACTTTCAAAATTGCTAGATTGCTCTTTTATTTGAATATGATTGAATCTGAAATCATCAAAAATGAAAAAAAAAAACTCACGAAAACCTACAAATGTTGCCGAATATTACCCAATCCTGGAGCGAATTTAGGGGGAGCGGGGTTGAAGCCCTCTTCCCTCGGAGATTCGACCCCCTGCCGACCCAAAGAGTCCCCCTCTGTACTATTTTGAGATATGCATTTTTTGTTGACGGACCCTAAAATTTTTGCTAAAAGTGCCTTTGGCGCTAAATATATACTAATTTTGAGGGGGGAGCGCGCGCCGAAAAAAGCGTTTTTCGTCAAGGTTTTCCAAAAGTAGCCTAATAATGGCTTTTTTGGCCTGTTTTGTTAAAACTTCGCCTGTGGCGCAGAAATTTCGGTAAAAATGGGGTCTTTCTACTGACAAGGAGAGCTCAGAAAATCTATTTGGTCGACCTAAAATCTTGAAAATCCGCCCCCTGCCCTCGAAAAAATCCTAGATACGCCCGTGACCCAATCCACGATTTCATTGAAGTGCAATTGATCAGACAAATGTCTCTTAATGAAACAACGGCACGCAAGGACCGTTCAAATTATTTGATGACTTTTTCACGTTTGTAGTCATTTGCCAGTTTGGTGCCTAGTTCGAAATTGCTTTCGCCCTCTAATAGCTATGACGCGAATTGCTACAACAATATTTTTTCTGATAGAAATTTTACACCAGAACTCGTTTTCTTATAAGAATATTATAAGATTCATACAAACTCTCTGTCATCACATACAAGAAATCCTGTAAGATTTTCCCAGGACTTCGATTTCTACAAGCAATCGGGTAACCAATCCGCAAGTCAATAAAACCGCAAGTAAGAAAAAAGTTGTTCAGTTAAGTAAAATTGATACAATTTTTTCCACAAGGTGTACATAGTTTAAAGCTAAGAATGTGCTCTTTTCAAAATTTAGGTTATTTTTCTAGGAAATGGAGCAAAGAAAGTGACCGCGCCCTCGCAAGCAGCGATCACGGATGATGGGCCTCGGATATCCGACTTCCCGACTTCTTACGAAGGCCTTAACTACTGCAATAGTGGTACTCTAAATGTTTGAAATTGAGTACCTGGGTTAGCAAAGCGTTGTTGTTGATATCCAGTCTTTGAGTGATAGCGACAACCAGACACTAAGTCGTCATTCTGGAATGCATGTATGGCTGGCCGTCTGTATCCAGATCCTCCTCGCTCGTCGAAACTGCTGTGGAGACTCTGTCGGTTGAGATAGTCCTGCACTTTAATGTCTACTATCTTCCTCACTCTCTCCGTCTCTCGCTCCGACAATTTGTTCCAAGTCATCATTTTTTTTTTACTTATGGGGGATTTATTGTTTATTTTCCATGCATTCTCCCCTATGGAAAACTTGATATGCTTTAAAAACTTAAATTATGCATGGAAAAATCATTAAAAAATTTTGAAGCTACATAATTACGTCTAAAAATTACCGGATACGTTTTACCGGATAGCGATATTAAAAATTACCGGATATCGACTAAGATCTATATAGAAAAGTTTTATCTGGTAAACGCTTTCATATTATGTATAATATTATCTAAGTAT